TACATGTTTGTATTTTTGAGAGAATATTATTTATGCATGGTTATTGAAAAACTTAAAAATAAAAGTTTCTGAAAGGCCACAAAACACATATTGATTATTTCTTCACAAGACTTTTGAAAATTGTATCACATAGTCTAGAATATTTGCTCCAAAACTATGTGAGAATCATCCTGACTACTCATTCAGATAAGTCAATAAAGTCTTTTACATTTTTAATGACGTGTTTTGTTTGAGAAAGCTTTATGCAAGGAGGCATGATCTCTCATTAATATGTGTGGCATTCCACACCTGAGAAAGACAAAGACCCTCCCATAATGGCCCTATTAGGTGCTATTAGGCCATATCATTATCAGGAGCCTTGCACAAAGAATGAGGAGATTTAAAAAAGAATCGCTTTTAGATTGTTTGGATTTATTTACAACACACACACACACACACACACACACACACACACACACACACACACACACACAGCTTAGAATAAGTGAACACACCCATGCTAAAATTGACTAAAAAGAGGAATAAAAAATCTTAATGCCTTAATTAAAAAAATGAGGAAAACTCCAACCTTTAGGGACATTAATAATGTCCTTGAATTCTTTGTGAATGAATAATGTATCGCAAATAATTAAATGTTCTTCTTTAAAATACAGGGTGCATACGTCTGGACACTTCTATCACAACCATATAGACATGGTTTTATTTCAGTTCAAAGTTAGAGTTGGAAACATCTTGAAAAGAAAATTGTCTTTTTCCATAAATGTCTTAGTTTGATCATACATATTTCAAAGTTGAGGATTCATTATTTTGATATAGCTTGCATTGGAACAAACACTTTAACATCTTAGTTGATTAGTTTATTGACAAAACATACTATATTTAACATATGAGCAGAAACTCCTAACAAAAGCTTATTTGATGTCTATTTTAGAGTAAAAACTTTATCCAAAACTAGTCGAAATGTTGTCTTTTATTTAGTCTGTAACAGTGCGTATCTGTGCGTTCATTCATTAATTCATTCATTCACACACACACACACAAACATGATTCACATTTAAACAGTATGCTATTTTTCCGTTTACAGACACTAACGTTATTCTATATCCCGATTAGAACAAAGCACTTTCATAAAACACTTACTTCTCAGCTGAATCTGTTGCTCCTCCTCGAAGTGAAAATAAACCAGCACTTGTTCTGTGGTAAATGTCCCAGGATTGTTCCTCATATAGCCGCGCAAGACGACAGTAGATTAATCTGACTAAAAAATATAGTGTTTTCAAAGTTTAACGCGTTAACGCGTCTCAATGTGTTGCTTCACATATTTGCGTTTGAATAGCGTGGGCGTGTCACATTACCAGAGATAATGAGCTGAGAGAAAGATAATTAGAACGGCTGACACGTCTCTCTTTTTATATAGATGACATAAACGGAGAATATTTATTTTAGTTTTGAATCGGATCATTTTAAAGTACAAACTCAAATGATTTAAAAGATATATTGCTTATGGCTGGGTGAATAGTATTAGCTGAGTTGTGTTGAAGATTAGAGACGTGCTCCGGAAAAAAAGTTCACGGTGACGGAGAGGCAGAACGCACACCCTGTTTATTTTCTTTATTTTACAAAAGCACAATATTTTATTTCGATTGTATGTGGGCACATAAAAAAGTAGACATTTAACAGATTATTTTCTCATATTTCTTAACTCTATATGAACAGAAATTATGGTAGTACTTTAAGTCTATTTTTCTGCTATGTGAAAAAAAAACGAGCAAAACGCGCCGGCGCGTTTCTGGTCCCCAGAGGGTTAAATTCCGCTTTTTAGTTATGACATGTAGTGTAGAGTTGCCGTGCAACATCACAAAGTACAGCATTAATGTGACTCATCCAAACAGAATTTAGAGTTGGTTGCAATAATTCTTTTTTTCCCTCTGTGGTCTTTAGCTAAGTCATTTTTGCACTGATGCCAGACTTCTGGTTACAATGACCCTTTTTTTTCTTTATTATTAAATTCTTTTTTTTTTTTTTTTTTTTTGCTGATTGTCCAGGGCTGCATTTAAAAAAGCATTGTAAGCTTAAGTTGATCACAGAACAATTGCCACCAATGGTCTCTACGATCAACTTAGGCTTACGATGCTTTTGGGAAACCCAGCCCAGAAAAGTACAAACTGATCTCCAGTCATCAGAGTCACATGTTCCTTCAGAAATCATTCTTATATGCTGATTTGCTGCTCAAGAAACATTTCTTAATACTTATCATTTTCAATGTTGTGCCGCATTCTTCCCTCGGGTCATTTTGACCTGAAAATCAATTTGTAAAAATTTTCAAAAATTGAGTGTTCATCAGAGGGGTCCAAGACCCTAGGACTTTTGTCGCACTTGAACCGCGAATACAAAAAAATCAAATAAAATAAAAAAAAAAAACTGAATGGATTCAAGGAGTTTTGTGGTTGAAATAAAAAAAAAAGTAACAAATCCTTCCCTCGTGGGTAAATTTGACCCCCTTAGGAATGAATGGAATGCAAGGAATGCTTCAGTACACATAGAAAAACTTATAAATGCTGACAATTCAAACTAAAAATGCTAAAACTTTACCAAAAAAATATTGAATAATGTCTACATATGTATATGAATGCATTATGAATAAAATGACTTTAGGACCCAGCGGAACAGCTCATTTGCTCCAAATAGTGCTGTAAGGCATCTAGTGGCAAGAGTCATGTTGCATATAATAAAATATCATGTTATATACATTTTTTTTCCAATAGATACTATTTATTTATAATTTATTGATCAAATGAGTAATCTAGTCATATAAAGGTAAATAAAATAAAACCATAACAAGAAATCAAAAAAAAAATTAAAGAAATAAAATAATTTTTCTGGACCAAAAAAAAAAACATTAAGTATAATTTTTGGGCTTCGGGGCATTTTGACCCGCGGGGGAATGCATCCTTGGTGAATAGAAAAATGTATTTCTTTAAAGGGGGGGTGAAACACTCAGTTTCAGTCAATCTCATGTTAATCTTTAGTACCTATAGAGTAATATTGCATCCATCATATCTCCAAAAAGTCTTTAGTTTTATTATATTTATAAAAGAAAGATAGGCTGTACCGAGTCTTTCCGGAAAAAGCCGAGCGGGTGGAGGCGTGCCGTGTGGGCGGAGCTAACACGCCGATAGACACACACAGATATTTGAAGCAGTTCTACCAAAGTCCTTTTATAGTCTCTGGTTCTACTCACCGCCTGCGGTTCCAACGCAAGACCGTTAACCTTTAGTGTTGGGACTGCTCCATCCTTGAGAACTAAACGATTAGCAAATCCGGCTTCGAACTGGGCCTTGTTTATAAAAAAATCATCCTCGAAATGCATGGAACAAACAAGAACACTTGCACAACTGTGTTAATGTTCTGGAAAAACAAACTCCATCCACTGGTCCCTTAACGCTTGATTCTTTGGGAATCTGTGCAGTGTTGTCTTGCCTTGGCAACCGAAAACACACTTCTTTGGTGACATATTGAGCGCAGCCGATGCACAGCGCTTTGATGGGCATAGGTTACGGCTATCGCTCTACAGCTGCGCGCGCGCCCTTCCGAGAGAAGTGCCCTTACGACCGTATAAGGAAATTCCGGCGCATCTGACGTCATACGCGCCCATACTCGAAAAAAAACTTTCCGAAACTTGTGACAACCAGGAAGGAGTATTTTGAGAACAGAAATACTCAATCAAACGTACAACTTAATTTGTGAAACTTTGTCCATGTTTAGCATGGGAATCCAACTCTTTAAAGGGATAGTTCACTTTGAAATTAATTTTTGATATGTTTTAGCTTACCTCCAGTGCATCCAAGATGTAGGTGTCTTTGTTTCCACAGTATCTTCAATTTTGATAATTTTAGGTAAAACCGTTGTTGTCTGTCAGTCATACAATGGAGGTGAAGGGGGTCCTCCTCAAAGAGCAGTCAAAATTAAACATTATTTAATGACTCGTAAATGTAAGTACACATTGATGCCCTAAGACACGAAACGAGTGGTTTTTGTGAGAAAACGAACAGTATTTATATTGTTTTTACCTCTTGTAACCACAGCCATGTCCAAGTTATCTGAGGCCGCGGACGCTTCCGTGTGTGACGTGTACGCAGACTGGTGCATAGATAAACTAGATGTCGCCTTGGCGACGGCAGTTCATTGGAACGAAACCTTAGCCAAGGCGACATCTAGGGTATATATATCTATGCACCAGTCTGCGTACACGTCACACACGGAAGCGTCCGCGCCCTCAGATAACTTGGACATGGCTGTGGTTACAACGGTTTTACCTAAAATTATCAAAATTGAAGATACTGTGGAAACAAAGACACCTACATCTTGGATGCACTGGAGGTAAGCTAAAACATATCAAAAATTAATTTCAAAGTGAACTATCCCTTTAACAGTGTAAAAAACTCACTATGCATGAAATAGCATTTCACCCCCCCTTTAAATATTTTACTGACCCTTAAACTTCTGAACTGCAGTGATAAAATAAAATTCTGTATCAAATTTATAGGCAAGACAAGTAGTTTGTTTAGGCATAGTTGGTAGGGAAATTACAAACCTGCGCACACATATTCAAACGAATATAACTATAGAATCAATTTTTAATGCGCATGTGAACGCCATCAGGTCACAGGTTCGCGTTTAAAGTCTGTTTAGAGAGAACAACGTCGTCTTAGTGGCCCCTAATGTAATAGCAAATGATAATTTTGCTGGAAGTGAATTAATCAAAACCAACTTTAGCCGGAAATAACATTATTCAAAATCGCTATAAAGCCAAAACAATCTCTGTTACCGTAAATTGTATGTTTATCTCTGTAAAGCTGCTCTGAAACAATCTCCATTGTTAAAAGCGCTATATAAATGAAGATGACTTGACTTGACTTGTATACAGTTTATGTGATTTTGTTTACACCCCCCAGCCCTACCTGACCCTGAGGTTCATGGAAACCTGTGCAGACGCTCACCTCGCATGGCGTCATCCAGGCAGTACTGCAGCGGGCCGCACTCCCAAATGCCTGTCATCTCATTAAAGAACATGTTGAAGTGAATCAGAATGATCTCAAAGGTAGCGCCCTTCAGCAGTGAGATCTGGTCCTCTATGATCAGAGTCCTGTCGAACACACAACTTCATTATAGACTTGTGATAAGACAAGCAGCTTGACTCATACATGTGACCGAACCGCCAACGATGAATCTTTATATCAGGTGTAAGAGGGCCGTATTCACCTGAACATTGCAAGCGTCTTGCTGAAGTTGATTACATTCTTGATCATGTATGTGGTGAGGTCTGTAAAATGTGGCAAAGAGGTGAAAATGGCACCTTTAAGCCACTTCTTCTCTTTATTTTCAAGACTCTGAAAGCTGGAGGAAGGGGATGAGAGGTTGACCGTCCGCTGCACTCCATCTTCAGGCGGTGGTTTATGCATGGTTGGGTTAGAGTATCTGCCGGTTTTTGGTTCTCGACTGTACTCAGACATGGAATTTTGATCCCGATCTAAAGGCTGCGGACATAAAACCACTGATAAAGACTGACAGTACTCATAAAGATGCATTTCAGTAGATACTAGGGGTTGAAGGACTTCAGATTTTGTGATTAAAGTCGAGTCGACTAGTCGCTGATGACGTCATTAATGAACAAATAAGCCTGACCCTCGAGCTGAGACTCGAACACAGCTATGGCATGTGACACAGCGATACCCACATTGCTATTGCTCCTACATAGCTGATTTTTATCAGTTCTTTTGTCTTTGGGTCGTTATATTTCTCACAGATTTCTGCTCGTTCTAAATCAGATATAGATAAAGTAGCACAGCAAAGGTCACATTTATATGAATGCATTAGTGAGAGAGTGATAGCGTGTGAAATACTTTTACCTGGCAGCATCTCTCTACTAATAGTGAAGCTGTGGGTTTTAGTTACTAAGAAATATATGCTAGAACGTTTCAGTTTCTAAGCTATTTTATTGATAAATCACAGAACAGTGTTGACAATACATTTCTGCTCTCCTGAATGATTCTGTGTGCGCACGATCTGCACATGATGTGTGAGCTACTGTCTTTATGTGTTTGTGTTACAATGCAGCATGCATTAGTTTAGAAGGGCGATTAACTTACCCGTACAATAAGCAGTTTAAAATTCACCCAATCAATTTTAAGCATCCAGATGGTCTAATCAAACGTATTTTGTGGAGCGCTATCGGAGTATGCATTTATTTGCCATTTTAACTGTTGGAAACAGTGCGTAAAAGTGGACTTCAAAGATTTCTTATCCTGTTGCGCCCTCTATAGGCCATCATCAGCAACTAGTCGACGTCTAGCTTAAAGCGTCATGGCAGAGGATTAAAGTCGACTAGTCTGTGCAACCCCTAGAAATTACATTTGTCAAGATCTCAAACGGACAAACTAAATAAGGTAAATATGTTACCCGGAACTGAATGAATTGGGCGCAAGTCATGTCGAAGGTCTTTTGATGTGCGGAGAGCAGCTCCTCTATGACAGCTTCCTGTTGAGGGGAGAGCATTACGGGCTCCTCATGCATCCTCTTCCTCTTGATCTGCATCCTCCGCTTCTCCACGGCCTCATCCGACATGATCACTGAGGAACAGAACCACAGGAATCAAAGTGAAGTATACACAATGTTGCTTAACATCTGCTGCTTAATATCTTTGACGATTGGAAAGTTCAAAAGAACAGCATTTATCTGAAGCAGAAATCTTTTGTAATAGGACTGTAAAACTGATTAATCGTAATTAATCTCATCTAACCTAAAAGTCTGTTTACATAATATATATGTGTATATATATATATATAGTATATACATTTCTGTGTGTGTATAACGTATATAAACACAGTATATATTTATACAAATATACCACACACACATTATTACTATTTCATATATATTATTTATACAAATATACCACACACACATTATTACTATTTCATATATATATATATATATATATATATTTTATTATTGGGTTGTATTTAATGGTGCTATACAAATAAAATTGCCATTGCCATTATACGAAAGCTGAAAGATACGCAAGAGACTTGTCCATCTTGACAATGTTTTTTATTGGGTAGGTTTCCAGGTCTTTCTCCAACCCTCCCAATTACATCACAGACTCACACACAATGCGTCCTTGATGAATAAAACCATTTTTATCATACATTAAACATGCTTAATAATATATTACACATTAGGGGTGTAACAATATTTCGTGTCACAATATATCCCAATACAAAAATGCAACAATAGGTATTGTGCATTTCACCCGAAATAAAATTTTCTGTGTGGAAAAAAATAAAATTAAAGTTTTAGTGTCAGTACTACATTAACCTACAATATATAATGTATAATAATGCAATGGGGGAATATTTGTGGGTCCTGATAATGCCACATGTCTTGTGTTACCAGTAAAAAGTGGCCTATATTATTTTAAATATATCTAGTCAGTGAAAGATTGTAAGCATATTCGTCTAAAATAATTCTGTATTTTCAGCTTCAGAATAATGAATATTTGTATTCTGGTCTCACCATTGTCCGGTGCATCGGGTTACCAGCACCAAGTCCAAGCATATTCATTTACACCCACAATGTAACACCAAACTTACCATTTTAAGAAACAGTCATTTTTTTGTTAACCTTTTATCATGTCTTGAAGTATCGCAATAATATCGTACCGTGAATTCAGTGTAGCGAATCGTGACATGAGGGTATTGTTAAGGCTGACTGGGTTAAGTGATAAGGTACATCTGCAGAACATATTTAAACACGTTAAATGCTGGTAAACACACAATTTTACATTAAAATGGCTTGACAACCGTACGCAGTCGAGAACACATTATTTGGGGGAAGAACCGTTCATCATTCTACTATTATTAGGATAATAAATATAACCATTCATCTATTTGTGGTTAAATATTAAACATAAATATAACCAAAATAACATTTGTGGCTTTAATCAGGTTGATGCTGCTATTTCATAACAGAATATGGCACTCTCATTGTTTTAATCTGCCATCAAGGTCCTTGGGAAAATGAAATGGCTAAAGTGGTGTGTGAACAATATGCTCTGTGTGTGTGTGTGATAGCAGCTATCAGTTAGGGAACATGAAAAGTAGGACTCAAATAAACTTACGCTCCCTCTTCATGCCCATTGAGAGGCATTTCTGGAGACGGCAGGACTGGCACTGTCTCCTGTTGCTCTTGGTGATGACACAGGCATTCTGAAACGGGCAGCTGAGCTGTGCGGGTCGCTTCATGGCACGCCTTACAACAGGAACACACAAACACAAAGTGAATCAAACTGATGCACTGACTGTAGAATAAATAAGATGCCACAAGATACGCGCACGACTGTCTACCAGTGTCAGACATTAACTTGATTAAAGGGCAAATTATTTGTTCTAACCACAGAACAGACTGCATGGTGTCCATGTCTATTTATCAAATGCTTCAATTACGGTAAATTGAATAAATTGAGGAATGCTACGAGGACTGTTTGACCCCTCATTTTAATTAAATATTTTTCAGTGGAATTGTTGCCTCCCAAGCCCTGGTTAAAGTAATAGTTCGTTCCAAAAATTGAAATAATTTCCTCACCGGCATTTCGTTACAAACCTGCATGACCCACTTTCTGTGGACCACAGAAGACATCTTGAACATTTCAACACAATTTGTTTTTGTCCATACAATGAAAGTCAATGGGGTCCAAAACACCACTGGACCAATTTGACTTTCATTGTATGCGCAAAACTGTAGTAAATGACAGAATTATTTTTTTTTTTTGTGGGTGAACTATTCCTTTAAGTGCTGACCCTGCCCCTCTATTAATTATGACAGAAAGATCAGCAATGTGAACGGGTTTCTTATATTTTTTTATAAGTATATTCTCAACATGCATGCTCTGTTTTGGTTTCATTTTCACTGTGTTTCGGTTTCCTTTTCTTGTGCTCTTTTCCCCTGTTGTTCTGTGTTCCTAGTTGTTTCCATGGTTGTTAATTAAGTTGTTCTTTTAATTATCTCACCCTATTTAAACCCTAAGTTCTGTCAGTTTCTTTGTCCAGTTTTGTTTGTTTGCTGGTTTTGCTATTATTTCTAAGTTTGCCCTGTAGTTTCCTGAGTATATAATTAAAGATTGATCTTCATATTATCTATCGCCGTGCCTTTATTGCCGCAACCCCTCTGTGACCCCAGCATTGTTCACATGTTTTAAAATATGCTGAAAGCACCCTGACAATTACTGTATAAATGCAGTTGAACACACGAAATATGTTGTGATGCGTCTGGGTTGGTCACAAAATATGCTACTGTACCCTATAATTATTTTCTCTTTTCAAGTTTGCTTTCACAATTTTGATCCAAATCACAACAATCAAAAACAGAATGATGATTGAACGGTTTTTAAAAGCTCTGTGTACATCCTGAAGGTCATATTTCACATTTCCTGTTTAGGAGGAGAACAATTTCGCCAAGACTTATTATGAAAATTATTTGACGCATATAGTAAACAAATCCCTGATGTCCTCTGCCATGTTTTGTTCCTACTGGTTGAGTTAAAGGAATAGTTCACCCAAAAATGATGTCACAATTTACTCACCCTCATAACGTTCCAAACTTGTATGATTTTCTTCTGTGGAAAACAATAGGAGATATTAATCCAGTTCAGTTTTAACTGTCACATAAGGCACTTGTTTTAACCGCTTTATATTTTATAATAATTGTATGTATATTAGAGTTTTTAATAGGTGAAAATGCTGTCTTAGTCATTTAGGTCCTCTTATCATTTTACATGTGTATGTTACAGTACATTTAAATGTTACTGGGTCTGCCTGTCAATGTGAGTGATCACATAAACAGGAAACAGGAATTAGACCAGCATAAAGGATGCAGGATGCCAGTCAAACGGAGGTCACAAACACTAACTGGTGATCACCCACTTGCTGGATGTAAATGAACTCCACACTGATAATGTAAAGTCCGATTCATTTCCACGAACCGGTTCTTTTGGACAGTTCATTTTGAAGAACCAGTTTAAAAAAAAAACGATTCATCGGTTCCTTACGCAATGATGTCACTACGCATTTCTTTTCTAACAACTCAGTGCCATGTTATATCAATAGCCGCGTTTCCATTACCCTTCAAATTGCGCAAATTGAAATTGCGAATTGAAATTACGCTCAATGGAAACACGTCAATTTCGCAAAAACTCCCATTTATCGCAAAAAAGTTTTTACGCTCGCATGAGGAGGTTTTTCAGGCAATTCGAAAAAGGAATATTTCGCAAAACTGCAATGGAAACAGTTTTTGCGCATTTACAGTCACCTGACTTAGAATACGCGGTGTGTTTGGGGTCCGTGGTATACGCAAATAATAATAGGCTAATAATTATCATCCTTATTATAACATTTATTAGGCTACATATTTAGAAGATGCTTTTATCCAAAAAAAAGGAACAAAGCAATTAGTCAAATGTCATTCATAATGGTTAGACAATAATAATACAGGGCTAAGATTATCACAAATAAACACAAGATTTTGACGCATATCCAAGTGTTTGTGCAGAGTGTGGAGCGCGCTGCAGGCAGGGAGACGCGGGCGCGAACACTTGCGTTTTCCTATCAACAGTGGAAACAACTTAAAATACTCTATAATTTCTGGTCATACAGAAAATAATAATACATTATTCGCGCAACTTTGCTTTTATTTGTGTAAACTCACCATAACAAGAAAACGTTGTGCTTTTGTAAAATAAAAGAAAACAATCATGCGCGCTTTCATGATCTCCGTGAACTGTAGCGCGAGAACTGAAACAAAGTATAGCCTATGTAGGCTAAAGCTTGAAATTTCCACTTTAAAACGAACAAATTCGAATCGAAAGCTAATACCTTCTGATTATGTAATCCGTATGAAAGGTGCATTTCTCTCTATTGGTGCATTCGCGCGGCGCGCCTCAGCGGAGATGGAGATATGTTTTTAGCCGACACTAATTTAGAAAACAATAGTTTATTAATACAATTAAAATGCCTCGTTATTCTTTCAGACACATTTATTGTCATTAGCCTATAACTCACCTAAAGACACCTTTCTGTAGGCTGTGGTTCCAGAGACATAGGCCTAAATATGGCTCTTCTCATTCAGCACTGCGGGAAAAATATAATTTTCAGGTTCTAATTTGGCCTTAGAAAACCATTAAAATCTACTTCTTCTTTTTTTTTGTATTAAGTTGTGAATATTTTAAATGTTTAATAAAGGGGCAAAAAGTCATAAACAAACATCTTAAATTTAGTCTTTTTTTTTTTGCGCAGCATTTGTGTACAGTTCAAATTTAAAAAAAAATTGGTGTTCAACTTTGCATTTAAAAAAAACAACCACCGTTCATTTTACGTTTTGCAATACGGGTTAAATAAGGAAAAACGAATGGACACAAAAGTACACTGACCGTTTGGACATAATACGAGAAAGAGTTCTTTATTAAATTCATAAAAGAAACAATAGGCTACAGGAATACTGGATTCTAAACCTCAAAGAAATGCCACAATCAGACCTCGGAGCAGAAATGAGGGAGAAACACCCAACTCCTTATGCCGTTCGCAGTATACGGGTCTTTCCCTGCCATTAATGCTTGGATAACACACCACGTCTCCTTCTATTAATAATAATGTCTATTGTGGTGGTGGCTGTGATTTAGGGATATAGGCTATAAACCTACCCGTTGATGTTTAAATGACTTATCGCGAGAGGGAAAAAAGGACGTTGTAGTTGCATAACATCAGTAAATGGAAACGCCGTCATTTCGCAATAGTTTTTTATCGACATTTAGAAAAAATCGCAAAAGTTTTGCGCAAATCTGTAATGGAAACGCGCTAAATGAAACATTAAAATAAAGTCATTTGTGTCAACACATATTAAGAAATTCAAATAAAAAGTTATTTGTGTGAAGTTCGCATATTGCTGATAATTGCCTTTCATTGCATAAGGGTTAATGGTGTTTGTGGTCACGTGGTTTCATTCGCGGATCCTTTATGTCGAATACGACAGACCAATATTGAGTAGTAGCCTATATCTTGGATAAGATTCCTAACCTACAGCACACATTACAGACATTGATGCACAAACGCAGATATTTTCTACATGTCTAAAGTATATAGAAAGAATAATCCAGTCTTATTAACTCATTGATTTTGCTTAAAGGTGCTCTATGTAGCTTTTCTTCTAAAATGAATCCTTTTTTATTGCCTGTGTGTGAAGGGGTTGTAATCACACATTACAATGATCCACTTGTCGGGTTTTGCTATTACCTCTGAAGGCCAATATTCATATTTATATGTGAAGTCTCCGGGTCGGATTTACCACGAAATCCATCGGATGTGACGTGCATGCGCGCTCCCGAGCCTCTCTCCTTTTTATATACAGTCTATGCGACTGCACTGCAGCGAACGGCATGGAGTCCGATAACACCCCAAAACGACCTGCCTCCAGCACAACACACACTCCAACACAAACACCACATAAATATAAAAAACAAAAAAAAGTTTTATCTGCTGAAGCTCGTCAGGCCAAACGTGATTCTGATCGACTCAGGACGAAAACACGGATCAACATCGGCAGAGCTTTTGAATTATTAGTAAACTCTAATGAAATAGCAAGGTAAACTACATGAGACATGAAATTAATACAAAAGACTGTTCCAGGATAACAAAAAGTAGGTGCTTTAGGATGTAAAATATTTTATGTACTAGATCTACTGTCTAACGTTACTCATCCCACTACTATCATATTGCTTATAATAAACATTTCCAGACACGTTCAGTACAGTAATGTTACTTCCTACTGTCTTACTGTTACACTGACATTGTTCAGTCTAGTTCACTAACCGTTTTCGTTATCATATTATACATTCATCTATGTTGACATTGCTGCCTGATTGTGAAAGACACGAATAGTTAGTGAAATGCCTTATGCTAACACCACATGCCGGCTAAATGCAGTCAATGTAACGTTATCATGATACGAGCATGGAGCATTAGTTCAACGTCAAGCTGATAAAAGTAGCCTATGCCTATCATTGTAATGTTGCAGTGGGCGTTTACATGAGTTTCCAGCATGTTGTGTGATGCTTTGAGTAGTATGAAGCTGCAGACTCGGAGACCTGCATCTACAGTCCCCCTGCACCCAGAGTCCCGCATTCTCAGACCCCTCGTTTTTCGAGACAGCGCCTCCTATCAAATTGTATCGGATAAACATGTGAAGAACTTAAGCCAAAACGTGAGTAGGCTATCTTCCATTTTATTTAGCGAATCGTAGTAGCCTACTCGTTTGATTCATTTTTTAATAAAACTAATTTAGCTCATCGATACAACATATGAATAGTCCATTTAATATTTGTAAAGATAGTTTGTAACAAGATTTGAGCCGTTAATGTATGTTTTTTCGCCCTCTTCCCCCCGAAAATATTTTGATAGCTAACGTTAGCCTTTAACCTTGGACTTTTTGTAGATATGTCATAAATGCTGCAGTGATTTTCACTGCCCATTTTGTGCCCCCATATATTTCAAACCCACAAAGTTGTCCAAAGTTCAAAAACATCTCAAGGGACACTACAACAGAGCAGTGCAACATGAAGGTATACATACATACATTGATGGAGTCGCCCCTGCCGAACCCAGCAACATATCATTTTATGATTATGCAAAGTGACTTATAAATTAGTTTTTTAATGCAATTGAAGACGAAAAGTAAAGTCACGAACACAGTTTTTTCTTCCTTTTTTCTTTACAGCAAGATGATGTTTAGGTGATCATTAAATAAAGTACAGAATTGTTTATTATTGATGTTTTGTCTATTCTGATTTGTTTTGCTTCGCATTAAAAATATCAAAAAACAGATTTTGTAATGTTTGCATGGTAATGTTAATTAGACCATTATAGGTTGAACTGAAAGAAAAATTGGAATTTGAATAAAAAAAATATAAAAAAACATTGTAGCAATATAATATCACATACTATTTTTCAGAAGATAGTTCAATCTGTAATTGTATCCCTTCCATCGCAATGAGTTTTTTTTTGGCACATGCATTAAGCAGGGAACGCAAATATTTATTGGATCATTTATTTGGAGACCGTAATATTGCATCCTATTGTTTTTAATTGCATTTGGATAAGCGTGCGCTGTACTCTTTGTGCGGGTGTTATGCGATCTTTCGAACAGCAGGAGGCGCTGTGTTCAAAAAACGAGGGGTCTGAGAATGCGGGACTCTCGGTGGGGGACTGTAGATGCAGGCTCCGAGTCTGCAGCTTCATAATATTGGATGCTTTCGCCGTTGCGTTGAAAGTCTCCGTGTGGCCGGTAGTGAATGCTCGCGAGATCGACCACGAGCACGAGCGCTCTTGTTGCAATTTGAAACATCACCGCCGCTAAAAAATACAAAGAGCACCTAAACATCTAAAACATCTAAAAAAAAAATCTGCATACACAATAAATTCAGGTTTTTCCATGTTAAATGTGGGGCTTTTTAATAAAACTTGACCATTATATTACCATTACGTGCATAGTATAATCAACAATCTCATCAGACAAACTTCGACAGTTGGTTGAACCGGCTCTTTTTGAGTCGGGTGTTCTACTTCAGCCGTGTGTCTTAGGTCATCAACCTTAAACTAAAGTTTGATTCAATTCGATTAGTGAAGCAGCTCGATCGGTTACTTCCTGAGAACCAGCTCAATTTTTAAGTTTTAAGTTTCATTTGAATATTGTAAGTACACTTCATTTATTCACTTTATTACTGTAGTTCATCTCATCTTTTTAAACACTCCCAACCTCACAGTTTAATCAGAGCCCATTTTGAACTAATCTAACTCAACCGAGTAGGATTGTTACACAGTGAATGACAACTCAAACTCTCATTGCTAATCGCGTGGCTTCAGAAGATTGAAATATAGCACACAATTCATATGGGCTACTTTATTGACAGCATCTCTTATAGTAAAAAAAAAAAAAAAAAAAAATAGAGCAGTGCGGATGTTCTGCTAAATATCTCCTTTTGTTTCCCACAGAAGAAAGAGGGTCATACAGGTTTGGAACGACACCAGGGTGAGTAAATTATCTTCAATTACAACAATTACAGCAGCTGAGAAATATCTGTTTGCTCACGCACCTGAAGAAGCCTTTGCAGCCCTCACATGTCATGGCGTTAAAGTGGTAGCCTGTGGATTTGTCACCGCATACTTGACAAATTTTGGGCTCATCATCCTCCTCTGTTTCTTCCTCAGACCCATCCCCGTGTCCCGAGTCGCCCAGGGGAGAAAGCTCCTCCATTTCTTTACTCATCCTGATCTGAAGTATGCACTGCAACACAAGGCACAAGTCACTAAATCACTCATATGGCTCATTATTACTGTAACGATTCCACTGAAGCAGAGTCTGTTTTCTGAGCCCAAATGCAGTTTATTCCATAATAGTGTATCAACAAAGCAATCACTTAAAAAACAACATAACTTAAGTATAAACTTGAGTAGGTAAAGCATGGCATGAACATGAAACTCAGAGATGACAAAGATTCCTGCACATGGCAAAATCAGGGCTATAAATACACCAACTACTAATGAGCCAACCAACACCAAACACCTGAATGAGACAAAAAAAATAATAATAATAAAGTAACACAGATGAAGACAAAAGCACATGGCATGAACACAAGGGAAACGTGGGGATCACATGACACATGAAAACAAAGAGCCCAACCAAACACCATCCTTACAATTACCACCAATATGTTTATGTCAAAAAATTAATATGAATTCATGCAGAGATTAGTTGAATAGTAAATAAAAAAACTGACAACCAAAAACTGCTGAACTTCCACAAATAGGCTACATTTAATAAACTACTACATATTTATTTCAAATGACTCTGGTGTAATATGTAATGGAAATATGTAATATGCTGATTGGTTATGGTGTACAAATACCATTAAGTATTCGACCACAATCACTGTACTGCACTACTGTTAATACCAGCTCCTGCTTTAATCTTAACCATACTGCACATCCTCATAATATTTGCACAACCTCAGAATCTGCCTCCAGCACAATATCCAGATAAATAATATTTGCACTGCCTCAGTACAGACTGTTAATATTCTGAATTGCCTTCGTCGACTCATTTCACACACAGCAACTTTGCATTTGTATATATATATGTTGAAGAAAAATAACATTCTTCATTAAAATTAATATTTTAATTATGGTAATATTAGCACATATGTTTGTACTCTATTGACTTTAACTCTATTTGAACTGGTTCTAAAAGGACAGAAAAGAAGAGAGAATGTGACTGCCATTATACACAATCTATAAAACAATTCAAAAGCATCTGGTATGGTAATGAAAACATCTTGAACTCTTTTCATTTCTGTTAAGACTGAGATAAAATTGTTAAATGGGCTGACATTGATTCATTCCTTTTATGATCCACGTGTACATAAATGCCTTCTTTAATTTCTATTAAGACAAGACAATGAACATTACAATAGTGTTTTAAACTCACAAATATCACATCCACACTTCACACAGATAACAACATCTAAACAACCTTCCTAACAAACCTGTTTGAACATTCAAATGATAAAGTTACAGTGAATAAAACAATCATCACATAACCATTCCACAGTTAGTTGCGACTAGGCGGAATAACTCACGGCTGTGACTTTAAAACGTACAACAGAGCAGGTGTTCAAAGTTCAGGAAACATACCCTTTGCACGATCCGCGTAACGCAGAAATACAGAGTGCGTCCTCCAGGGCAAGACCTTTATCCTAAATAAGCCATTGAAAGAACACAGCGCATGCACACACACACACACACACACAATGGCAAAGAAAGCTGAATTTATGTGTTGCCATGGTATCCACATGGGACCACTAAGCATTGGTCAAGTCAGACTCCCTCTATACGCCATAATCCTGACGTGCAGCAGCATATAGTCTATATGATTATTCAGGGTTGGGTGAAGGTTCGTGTGACGTGTCTCATTACAGATGAAAACGAAGACACAAAGTGAACAGTATTGGTGTCCAATTACAAAACACACTATTATTTATTTTGCCTCATCTTTTTTTTATTATCATATTGAATAAAATAACCAATTTGTTGTTACAAATAGTTGATTTAATCATTTTAATTTCATTTTAAAAAATTCTTCATTTCATTTTAAATGTCAAATCAAAGACTTTTGTGTAATGAATTAACATTTATTCATTTAGCAGAAGCATTTGTCTAAGTGAATTACAAATTATAATAGAATGATAGAAAATCCTAACAGAAATCATTTGTAATATTATAAATGTCTTTACTATTATTAATAATATTAAAGACATTTATAATGTTACAAAGGATTTCTTTTGCAAATAAATGGTTTCTTGAGCAGCAAATCATCACATTAGAATGATTTCTGAAGGATCATCGTGTGACACATAATAATGCTCAAATTTCAGCTTTGCATCACAGGAATAAATTACATTTAAAAATATATTCAAATAGAAAACAGTTATTAAATTTTATTACATTTAAAAAAAAATACCGATCCTTAAACTTTTTGTCTCCAAACTTAATAATAATTAGACAAACAGAATCAATTAATCCAAGGGAGAAAACAATAAAAGAACTGCAGCCACACCAAATATCGCTTGTATACTACAATAGTGAAATGCTATAATGTGAAAGTATGTAAAAGTTTATTACAGTTGGTAGGGAAAATCTGACAACTTTCTCAGCTGCTCGTAATTGCGAAATAAATTCCCATCTACCAACACCATTTTAAAGGGACAGTTCACTCAAACAGAGATTTGAGAGTGGCTACGTAAAAAAAGAAAGTGGATAACTTAAATTTCAGTTTGCTGCTCATCACACAAAGATTTAATATGGCTTCAGAAGACTTGGAATATAGCACACAATTTATCGGCTATTTTTCATTTCATTTCATTGCAATTTAGGGATCTTGACAGCCTGGTCAGCATCCACTTTCATTTGGAAAAGATCAGCTTAGATATTCTGCTGAACTTCTACTTTTGTGTTCTATGAAGGTTTGGAAGGACATGACGGTACAGACGACAGCATTTTCTTTTTGGGTGAACTACCAGCTAACAGGGAACGTTCCCAGAACTTCGGCTAACATTCTGGCAAGGTTCTCTCAAAGTTACGCACAAATATTGTTCCAGTAAGGTTAATAAAATGTTTGTTTGAAGTTATCTGGTTTTTAATAATGTTTTCAAAACATTAGCGCAAAATTATTATCATTCATGGAATGTTTTTACCTGCATTTTTTCAAAGAACATTCAAAAGTAACATTTCCCAGTGTTTGCTAAATGATAAAATGAAATGTTCCCTTACCAATTGCATAAACAAGAAAAAAAAACATTTCAAACAAAAACTGGACGTTTTGAACTTTCAGAGATCAAAACAACGGTTTCATAACTTCATAAGAATGTTTAAAAAACGTTATTGGAACATGTTTTGGTTAGCTGTGCTAAGCAATCATCTGTAAACCTGAAACTATTATTATTAATCCTTAACTATTATCTAAATGATATCACAGCTTAACATTTACTGTCATTTATTTGGCCTTGACTAAAGCACCTCATGTTTTATTTTCAGTTTTCAAGTGCACAAATGACCAAAGGAAGGCCACTCGATAGATTAGTGACCTATTTTACTGAGACTGGTGCAGATGAGTGTTATGCTACGTTCACACCGGACGCGAATAGCGCGTCAAATTCGCGTCTACCGCGTCTAGTTTGACGCTTGACCACTTTGTGTTAATTAGCGTGTCAATTGCGAAATTGACGCGCGTAAAAACAAAAGTTTGAAGCGAAATTTACGCGCGTCAGAGGCGAAATCCAGAGGCGAAAGTTTCGAAACCCTTTGGCGGCCATCTTTTTAGATGTTTATCGAGCATTAGCATTAGCATTATTCGAGAGAGTCACCGCTGGTATATGCTCTGGAGAGCAGAAACAGCTGTGTAGGGGACATCGTCGCTGTACTCGGGTCCACCAGACCCTCCGGAGGGTTTCAGGAGTTTCACAATTTGCCAGGAGCTAGGTTTGGTGGACCTAACGGTGAGGACGCTGACGAGGACAGCGTTGGCCGTATAAGGCCTCGGCCTCGAGTGGTCTATGCCTGTCGAGCCCGCGCTCTACAGCCCGGCGCGAGGTTCACCCTCGCCCGCACACACCTAATCTGTCATTTATTTTTGTTTTGATAATAAATGGAGCCTCCAAAAGTGAAACCTGTCCTGTGATTTTTTTTTTAAAGTTTTTATACACTAAATTGTGTTTGTTGTATTTACATTAGAATAATAATGTTTCATAGAATAGATATGGAATAAATAGCATTCAATACAAAATGAGTATCTCTCATTTATTGAAATCGAGTTTTTATGTGAAAGATTTGCTTTGCACACCAAGTATTTTTGTCATATTACAAAATAATTTATTGAGGCCAAACATAAAATAACATTATAAACTGTCACTTCACCACGTGACAGCAGCAAGCAGGCTCCTGATTGGTTAACGCGGCGCGAATTGACGCAGAAGTTCAGATTTTTCAACTCGGGCGGCAGACGCGAATTCGCGTCAAACGCGTGAATGCACAAATAGCACTAACTAAATCATTCGCGCCTAACGCGCCATTCGCGCGAACTTGACGCGCGAATGAGGCGTATTCGCGTCTACCGCGCCGCGCTCTACGCCTCATTCGCGCCGCAGGAATTTTTTACACGCGTAACGCGTCTTTGCATTGACTTAACATTGAAATCACTCGCGCCTGACGCGCTATTCGCGTCCGGTGTGAACAGAGCATTAAACGACGTGATCCTCAAATCTTAAAGTCCCCCTGTAGTCAATAATTGTATCCCTTGAAACTCATCTTTGATCACCAAAATGACATATTTAAACGTTTTTTTTTCCTTGGGAAAAAAAATTCTTCATGCTTTAAAATAGCTTGAATGTAATTCTACACCCTTGCTCATTTAGTATTCACAGTTCTATGGATAGGCTAATTAGCCCCGCCTCCACTCACTCAGAGATTCACTCGTTGACGTGATTGGTTACAAGGTAGTTTGTGACATCAGAAACAACGATTTCGAACCGCATTTTCAAGACTGTCTTTGGTTCACTGCAGTTTTAAGGAGGAAATACTCAGCAATGACTTATGAATTTGCACATGGTTTGTCTTAAAGCAAATTAAAAACATCACATAGACATATAAACAACATTAAATGCTTGATTTTCACCACAGGAGGACTTGTATGCTAACAATCATGCAGCTGAACTCTGTAAGGTCAGCATGAGT